CGCTCCATTTTGTCATAAGGATTTGTTCTAACATTCTATATGCAACAGTGGTGCTGTGTTGCACATGGTTGCTGTGGTGCACACAGGCGCTGTGGTGCACACAGGAACTACAATGCACACAGGCATTGTGGTGTACACTGGTGCTGTGTTGCACACGGCTGATGTGGTGCGCGCAAGCGCTATGGTGTGCACAAGACCTGTTGTGCCCGCAGGCACGGTGGCACAAACTGACGCTGTGTTGTACGCGGTTGCTGTGGTGTACATAAGCGGTGTGGTGTACACAAGCGCTGTGGTGCACGCAGGCACTGTGGTGTACACGGGCGTTGTGATGGAAATGGCAAGCTACATGCTGACACTACCCGTCCTCCGTCATTCCTCGGCATTCCCAGACGCCGCTGGCGCGAAACGTGACGTCATCACGTCATCGACCCCCTTCACCCCCCACTAGATGATTGCCGTCGTCGGCCCGGAACAGAAAACAGGCTTCAGCCGCGTCCGCGCGCGCGACGACTATGAGCGACGAGCGACAAGCCACGAGCGACGACGACGACGACGACGACGACTGCGGACCAGACTCCTATGCGGATTCCTACGCAGACACCTACGCGGATCCCAATGTGCACGGCGACAGTGCCCGGAGCACACTGGGGGGGGAGCGTCACGTCATAGGGGGGGGCGGAGCGGGGGCCATGACGCCCGTCATGCCCAAAACAATGAAGAAATGGGCTCCTGCAAGATTGGATCGGATCGGGCTGGCCAGAATGGACGTCGAATCGGATCGATCGGATCGAACTGGATCCTGGGTGGAGGCGGGGAGCCCGAGGGTGCTCTGGCCAACAGGGGTCCCCCCGAGCCTGACCAAGGTCGGAACGTGTCCGCCCCTGGCGCCGACGTGGCGGAGCCCAGCCGGGCCCTCCGTCAGTGCCCCTGTGCGCAAGCGCCGGTCCGTGCTGAGCGCAGGCCCCGCACGCTTACGGTGCGCCTCGTCCTCCTCCTCGTCCTCCTCCTCGTCCTCCTCGTCCTCCTCCTCGTCCTCCTCGTCCTCCTCGTTCTCCTCCTCGTCCTCCTCCTCGTCCTCCTCGTCCTCTTCCTGCCTCTCCTCCTCCTCCTCCTCCTCCTCCTCCTCCTCCTCCTCCTCCTCCTCCTCCTCCTGCATCAGGCCCCGCCGACGGATTTCTGGCGGTGGCCCGCGGCAACGTCGTCCCCCCTCGCTCAGTCCTCTGGAGGCTCTCGGGGTCCCTCGGAGGGTTCTCGGGGCTCATCCTCTCCGTTGCGCTGAACTGCGCTGCTTGCTCTGCGCTTGATGTGGCTTGCGTTGCTTGTGTTTTTGCCGCATGTCTTCCGTCAGGCCCGACGAAGGGCGCCTATATTGCGTCGGAACGCATGCACAAAAGCAGAAAACTTGGTGTTCTCGCGGCTTCCCCCCTCCTCCTCCTCCTCCTCCTCCTCCTCCTCCTCCTCCTCCTCCTCTCCTCCTCCTTCTCTTCCTCCTCCTCCTCCTCCTCCGTCTCCTCCTCTTCCTCCTCCTCCTCCTCCTCCTCCTCCACCTCCTCTTCCTCCTCCTCCTCCTCCCTCCTCTTCCTCCTCCTCTCGTGTTCCAGCCTCTGGCACCATGTGCATGCCGTCCACTGCAGTCTCGCTCGCAATAATGGGCAGGCCGTAGCGGAGCGCCATGTTGATCTTTCCCTCTCGGGCCGTGGCGAAGGGCAGTGAGATCGACCCGCGGGACGCGCCGTGGTCCCGCAAGTCTTTACGAGGAGCTGCGACGAATACCGCAGCCATGGAGGCGAGGGCACTGAGAAAGATGAGAGGGAGGGGGCAGAAGAATAAGACTGGGTGTCGATGCTTGTCGAGCTCGAACCTCCACCTACGCAACATGGTGGGATCTCCGGCGACTGCATCATGGTGGGACTTCGAAGTCTTGCGCGGTCCGCACGTGAGGTAGATAGACACTTTCTGCACATAGGCCCAAACATCAAACGCACAAGGATGGTATTCTGGATGTGCGGGCACATCATCGGACACTGGTGTAATGCCTACGGTCTGGTTGCCCACCTCAGAACGGCCCGAAGACCTCGTAACTCGTAAAGTTACTGCCAGACGAGCGAACTGCAAAGGTGAGATTTCGGCCACTGATAGTCGTGTCTCTCATCACAGCCCTTTTTTCACGCTGTTCACTTAAAACATGGCGTATGTGATCTTTCTGTCGTCCGCGATCGGTCCTATATCTCTTTCGCCCTTCACTCGCCTCTCATTGTTGCTGGCCAGGTCTGGCATGTCAGACTTCGCAGCGCAACGCGAAACGGGCACACGGGACATGCTTGATGGCAACGAGCGCTGCAAGACTGACAACCCGCGCACAGCTTCGCACGCACAGCTCGTCACGCAGCGGCGTCATCCCCACGGTGCGATCACGAACGCCAAGGCTGCCTCTCCCGATGCGGGCGGCCGTGCGGAGGCATTGTGGCAGCCCCGCAGCACATCCGAGGAGAGCGCAAGAGCAGAGCGAAGAGACTGCGGAGGCCTTCACGCCTGCTCCCACGCGCAGTGCTCCAAGGAAGAACTTGACCCGGAAGTGCAACTTCTTCAGCTCCTGACTCGAGATGCGCCCACATGACAGATAAGCGCATGCCCCCCTGAGAAAAAAAGGGTGCTGCCGGCAGATCAGCTCTGCTCAGCCACTCGAAAGCGCAAGCACCTCGGATGAGCCGGGCGGCGCACGTTGCACAGCGGGGGGTGGGGAGGCAGACAATGAGAGATGGGATGGGTGCGGAGCAGGAGGGGTGCGAGACATGTATATATATATATAGAGAGAGAGAGAGAGAGAGAGAGAGAGAGAGAGAGCAAGAGAGAGCAAGAGAGAAAGATAGAGAGAGAGAGGGAACAAGAGAGAGGGGAAGGATAGCGGGATAGCTATGGTGGAAAGCTTCCATCGTTGCGTCGGCCCTCCCTTCCCTGCTCCTCGTTGCTCACATCGAGGTGGAGCGTCACGCTCGGGTTCTTTCTGGCCTCCTCGACGATGTCCCCCGCCACGTCCGGACACCTGAGCGTGTCCGACCAGACGAAGTGCATGAAGCCGCTGGGATACTTGGTAGGGTCCGCGAAGATCTCGCGCATGATGAACCTTGACGGGATGTACATCAAACAGGTGAAGCGGCAATGCAGCTTCTCATCCCCCTCAAACCCCTCAGCATTGAATAGTGAGGACGACCTGTTCGACGCATGGAATGTTTCAGGGAATTGGGGTGCGCGCCCGAAAGGGGGACGGACAAAAAGCAGGACGATGGCCAATCGCGAATCTTCCCCAAAAGCGACAGCGGCCGCTGCCAGGAACGGATGTTAGCCTTCGTCGCCATTCTAGACGTCTGGCGCGCCGAGTTCTTCTATGCGTCACCTCCCCACAGCTCTCGACCGCTTCCACAAGGTCAGATTTCCACCCCGAATTCTGATGTGACACTCCCGATGCCCAGAACCGGCCTCCAGAGGCAAACATTGCGACAAACTGACCGCATCAAATTTACCGAGGCAGTGAATATCTGGAGCTTGACTTCGTCCCCACTCTTCCCGTCCCTCTTTCGATGATCCCGATGGGGGGAGGAACACCCAGGCAGCGTCGCCCCGTGTTTCCATGCCTTGCACACCTGGAAGCATCAAGGTTCGGCGGGTGGCACCCGTTGCCGACGAAGAGGGCGCCAGAGCGCTGCGCGAAGCCAACGTCCTTGCTGAACAAAAAGCATACGTGACGCCAGCAAGAGAACGAAACGAGTGCTGCGACCAAGACATGGGCAAACACGACCCACAGGCGCTGCAAGAGGACCCCGAGAGACTCCAAATTGAGGTCCACGTTGGTCTACCTACCGGAGATGCGGGAGGCACAGTCATCACATTTCCCCATCCTCGTGTCGGGGGTGGAAGAGATGGCTAAGGCCTCTTGGGTGAAACAGAATGGCGCCAACGACGGAAAGGGAGGAACATACGATATGGACACACAACACCCGTAACATCGCACATGGCCCCTGTGCGTCCTCACTCATGTCAGGATCTGGATATATGTTCGTGAGTAGCGTAGCCTTCTTTTCTCCGAACAGCTCGGCTACCAACTTCTGCTCCGCAGGCGCCACAACCAACACATAGTCGGATCGGTTCATGTAGCTCTTTTCCCTTCCGAAGCAAGATATGCAGACGATGGTAAGGAACGAAATGCAATATAACAAACATGACAAATCCGCGCACTATCCCACATGATGCGTACCAGGGCAGATGCAGAGGATAACACGTGTTTTATCGGTTCGTGAGCGTGGACCCCAAACATTGCAACGTGGCGGTGGCGTATGTGTTGTGTAAGCTACTCGGAATAAGTTAAACAGTGGGTGCTTTGCGGTGTGAGATACATCGTCCAACCTATGGTGTGCAAGCGGTGCGGTGTAAGCTGTGTTGTGTAAGCACGGTGGTGTGAGCTATGTGGTGGACTATATGTAGTGTAAGAGATGTGGTATGAACGGTGTGGTGAAAACTACGCATTGTGAGCTGTGTGATGTAAGCGATCTGTGTACCGTGAGCTGTGTGTTGTGGGTGGGCTATGTGGTGCGAGGTCTGCATCGGAAGCCATGTGGCGCAAGCCATGCGGTGTAAGCTGCGTTGTGTAATTCATGTGTAAGCGCACGGAGCGCCCACAGGGAACCCACGAGCGGGAACCCGCGCCAACGCGGCGAATCTTGGCGGCGCGCACGAGGGGGTGGAGCGAGGGGGGAGGGCTTCTTGGGAGGAGGCTGCTCCTTCGCAGGCTCCGGCCTCACATCTGCAGATGAAGCCCGCGCCTTCTAGGAAGCAGGGGTGCTTCTCAGAAGCCCTCCCCGGAGGAGGAGGAGGAGGAGGAGGAGGAGGAGGAGGAGGAGGAGGAGGAGGAGGAGGAGGAGGAGGAGGAGGAGGAGGGAGGAGGAGGAGGAGGAGGAGGAGGGGGAGAGCATCCTCGGGAAGCCCACCCGGCGCACGGGGCGCCCACGCGGCGCCCGCGAGCCGGGCACGGGCGCCGGCGCGGCGAATCCTCGGGGAACCCCGCGAGCGGGCGAGCGGGCGCCGACGTGGCCTCACCGAGGAACCCAGCCCAAGCACTTCGGAAAGCCACGTATCGCGCCCTCAGGGCACCCACTGCTTGTGGATTATATATATATATATATATATATATACATATATATATGCATACATATACATTATGTGTATATATATATATGTATGCACATACGTCTGTATGTATGCATGTGTATATTCCTCTCTTCCTATATGTTTACAAGCCCCGGCGGGGGGAACCTCCCCCGCCCCCCCCAAAAAAAAACTGGGCTCCCGGGATCTGGGGCTTTGGGACCCTCCGGACGGGCCTCGAAGCGGCCCCCCGGGCCTCGCAGAACGTTCTGCCAAGCCTTCCCAGCACACCTAGGGCGATCAGGGGGGTCATCGGAGACGTCCAAGAGACCCCCAAGACAGCACAAGGGCGCTCCAAGAGTGGCCGACGTGACCTCAAGATGGTCCAAGAGGCCTCCAGGACGGCCCCAAAGGCCTCAAAAAGCCTCCAAGAGCACTCCCAAGAAGACCCCAAGAGGCAAACATCATTGATTTTCGGCGTGTTTTTCGGTGAATGTTTGGGGTTCTCCTCTTTTCGGCTTCCCGACGCTCCAATACGGCAGTCTTCCAGGCGTCCGAGCCGCCTGGGAGGCTCCAAAATCGCCCCACAACCATCCGGAAGGGCTTCCAGGCAGTCCAAGAGAGCCTTAAAACGGCACAACAGGGGTCAAAGATGGCCCTAGGAGAGCACCATGGCGGCCCAAGACAGCCTCAAGACACCCTCCAAAGCATTCCAAATCGTGACCCGAGCGTTCAGGGAGAACGCGGTTGGAGGCAGGGTGGCCCGAGGAAGCCCCCAGAACCTCCAGAACACGCCCAGGAGGACTCCAGAAGGCCTTAAGAAAGCCTGAGGCCCCCAGAGGCTCTCCAAGGAGGAGCCTCTGCAAAAAGAGCTGAAGAGGATAGGGAAAATGCGCAGGGTATGGCGATAATGAGGAAAAACAAGCATGGATGAAGGATAACGAATAACATCATGTTAGCGGCGATGCTGGAAAACGCAACAAAGAATTATCGCTAAATTGTCGGCTTGACCTTCCTGCCATTCCGCCTGCACACCAAACTTCAAGAACCAAGGTGCATGGCGCGAAACGCCACTGCAGTCTTGTGTGTATATATATATATATATAAGACACCAATGGCGCTTCGCGCCATGCACCTTCTTGGTCCTTGAGGCTCTGCATATGGTGGTCGTTCGCACCATCCCTGGTGGCCTTGGAAATTGTGCCCCTCCCCTGCGGCGGTTTTCAGCAGTCTTCGAAAGCCCGGGCGGTCCCCGGCCCTTCCCGGGGGCCTCCGGGGGCTCCCGAGAGGCGCCGAGTGGAGGACGAAGGATAGGAGGGAGGGAATCTCGGAGAGCGAGGAAAAGGAGCTGATGTGGGCGAGGACGAGTGGTGGAGCGGCAGCAAGAGGAGGAGGAGGAGGAGGAGAAGGAGGAGGAGGAGGAGGAGGAGGAGGAGGAGGAGGGGGAGGAGGAGGAGGAGGAGGAGGAGGAGGAGGAGGAGGAGGAGGAGGGCGCCGTCGGGGGACGGCGGCCACATCGCCGCCAGACCGACTTAGTAGGCCCAGACGGTGGGCGGCGACGATGGGCGGCGACGGGGCGACGGGGCGGCGTCCACATCATAGCCGCCAGACCGACCCACGGGCACGACGGCTCCTTCCAGGCCAGGAGTTATAAGAGCCCTACGCGTGAGAGCACTGCTTGGGGAATAGGACTCTCTTCGGTACTATCGTTAGGTTGTTCTCATCCTACTTAAGGACCGCATCCCAGAAATAGTTTCGAGCACCCGAAAAAGGGTCAAAAGGGTGTCGAAACGGTGTCGAAACAGTGTCGGGCGAGTGAGTGTCTCCCAGGGCCCGACACGTGAAAACCCGGCGCTCGAAATTCTTTCTGGTGATCGAGGCTAAAGTAGGTTGGAGCAACATGATACTATCGGTGGTGATCCGCAAGCGTGCAGTTGGCACTGAGTGAAGGCACCTCAGGTCCTTTCGAATTCCCTGTCCTACGTATGCGGATCAAGCGCAGTAGACACATCCTACAGGGCCATGGCATTCCACTCGCGGATCTGCCAGGGCGTCTCGGAGGCCGTTGGACATCAACTTCGCCGACGCAATCGCTGGAATGTTGCCCGCTGTGAGCGCTGACTCGGGCCAGTGGGACACACACGGGCACAGCGTGCACAATCACAGCGCAGTAGCAACCAGGCCGCACATCCCCCCAATGATCGTTCTCCTCCTGTCTTTTTCCCCTTGAGATGAAAGGACATAGGGGAACTCCGACCTATTGTGGCCAAATGTCTCTGTGGGGTGGGCACCCACCCCCAGGCGTCTGGCTGCGCTGCGGTCATCGGGCGACCCTGTCCGGGCCCGGCAGATCCGCCCTGACAGACCCAGTGGGCCCCAAAAAGATACAGAAGAACCTTTGGCCGAGATGGCCGCCGCCACCGTGGCCTTCTTCCCCGGACCGGTCCTCCCTCCTCCGTCCTCCTCTCCTCCCGGCGCCGAGAAGGGAAGGTGTGCCTCCGAGCAGAACATTTCTTTATGTGCGGGGCAAGAGCGAACCTCTTCCGCTAAAAGCCAGGCGGGCTACGCACAGCTTTCATTAGGGAGACAGGGCACAGGACGGAGGGGCCTCAGGCGGCCGGAGCGGGCGGCACCCGGGGTGCAGGCGGTGCCGAAGTGGATGTGCAGGAAAAAGTACGCCGCGGACAAGGACCGAGGGCGAAGACCCGGAAGGCGAAGGAGATGGTGTTGCCGTCAACGGCACATCGCGAACACCAGCCTTGAGCACTGCAGGGGAGGACGCGCCACTTGACCAGGTCGACACCCAGGAGGAAGAAGAGCACCCCGCCAAGCAGAACACGCGCGGATCACAGCACAAACACCGTGCTGGAAAGCGGGGGGACTCTGGCTCAGACGTCCTGTCCGTGAGAACTCCGCGTTATCGCGGAGTGGCCCTCCTCTTCCTCGTCCTCGTCCTCGTCCTCCTCCTCCTCCTCCTCCTCCTCCTCTCCTCCTCGTCGTCCTCGTCGTCGTCCTCCTCCTCCTTCTCCTCAGAAATGCATGGACCGCGGAAGCGTGCCGACGGTGGGAGGAGGAGCGAGGGCCCGGGCGCTGAAGTTCGTCACCCACCGATCGAGTGCCTCGAGCTTCTACAGCCAAAACGTATTTTAAGGACGGGTGATAAGGACGCAAGACCCTTGGAGGCCGACCAGTGATAATGGCAAGGACGAGCCTCAGAGGCAAAGACACAAGGGTACCCTAGATGAAGGCGCGCGTCCTTACTAGGCGCGTTGACTCAATATGGCACTGTGGGCTGTGCATGGAAGAGCCCTGTCCCGCAACTGCGGCAAGATCTCGGAAACAACACCCCCTGCAACAACACTTGACGCAGCCTGGAGCGGTCCGACTGAGCATGCGAATCGACTACAACGCTGCGTCTCGTCGTGTTACATCCTTCCTGCTGTCAACTGGAGTGTTACCGAACATGGATGATAAACTGTGGCCGCTTGCGTCTGAAGAGGCCCAATTTGAAATGGCAGAGGCTCTCAGGAAGCGAACTTCTACCCACCGCCTACGCCAGTGGCTGCTCACGGTTCGGCAAAGAACAAACGAAAGCCCTTGGGTCCTGAAAGAAGCGGGCCCTAGGCCGGGAGCTTCGTTCTAAGGTCCTGGGAGAAGCGGGTCCTAAACCCTGAGACGTGCAACGAGCTTTGACTTTTCAGGGGCCATGGGCACTCACGGAAGCCGAAACGGTCAAAAACCTCATCAGGATCCCATTCCTTCAGGACCCCTTCATGGTGACGTCGCTTGACCAGCAAGACCCCCCAGACTCAGGTCGCGGACCTGGAAGAGAGAAAGAAGAGGGAGGAAAGAGGAACGGTGATTGACGAGAATCGTAATCTGATGGGTCAAGTCGTCGGAATGAGAGCCTCCACGAGCTCCGCACGTAGTCGGAATCGGCGCCCACATTGGCCGAATAATACTTTACATCGAAATCGAAATATGCGAACTTGAAGCCCGCTAATCAGACCAGATCGGAATAAATGCCTGTGGGATTCAGGTCGGCACTCGAAACGAACAAACAACATCAAGATCAACATCGGATCGGAACCGTGTTTGATCCCAGAAACTAAACTGACTGTTGTTTGATTCCCCAGCCGTCTCAAAGCAAATCGAAGTCTAGGCCTCCGAGATCGCTAAAACGATGTGATCTCAAAGTGCGGGAATGAGAGGGAGAATCTGGCCAGGCTCACCTTCGTTCGCCTTCCTCCAAGATCTGCTCTGCCTGCTGAATACCAAGCTCGACCGGGTCCCTGTACACGTCGCCAATCGGAATATTGCTGTGGTCGCCCTGCTTCAAAGCTAACTCCACTCCCTTCCGCTCTCTGACAAAATGCAAATCCACTGTGTCGTAGATGAGTGGAGCCCTGGGGCAAAGTCTGTCCACACTCATTATGTTGTTGGCGAACACGCCTCGCCGCGATATGAGTATGAGATCCCACGGGCAAGGCACGCTGTTGCTGACGTCACTGGTTCCACGAGCTCCGGCCATTGCCTTGAAGGACCCAGGGGCCAACACCTGAATGCCGAGCGCAAGGAGAGGCACCGCAGTCCTCGCAAAAGATTTGGGACAATCGGGCTGAAGCGTCACGGCGTACCCCATGTCAACGAGTATCTGCATCATCTCCCACATGCGCACGGAGCCGGAATCTGCCTCCACAAGCGGCACGCAGTGGTCGATGATGAGCACGCGCGTGCCCTGGCGCACGAATGCGGCGTAGCCCGACGCCAGCTGCATATCCGACGGCGAGGCGCAACCACTCGCAGCCGAGCAGTGATATCCCAGTGTGCTTTGGTGCTTCTGGTAGATCCATGCCATCATATCGGCACCTTGGAATAATAGGGGGCAAACAAACCTACCTCGCTTTTGACCACCCTCGCTTCCAAGAGATACCAAACGATGCCAAACTACGGCCTGTACTGGTCAGGCCACTTGACGAGGAGGCGCGTGGTATGACTTGGTTTGGCCTGGAAGCGAAAGCGGGGTAGGTAATTCACGCTCTGAAATAAGGGGATGCGGGATCTCACGGGGGGATCGGCCGTTACATGATGATGCTTCGCGAAGGTTGGTCACAGTGGGGACGGGACAAGGGCGTCACATGTGGCGGATTCCGGAAACCCTGAACCCCAATATGTTGTCATCTCTTGGGAGGTCGGCTTTTGCTTCCGCCTGCTTCGCCGAGCTTCCGCTGGCTTCCGCCGGCGGAAGCGGCCTCGCTTTACTTCCGCCGCCTTCCACCGGCCTTCCGCCGAGGAAGAGACGACAACTCCTTCGATCCTGGAAGGCAAGGCCCTTCCGAAACGCCTCATACCTTGGAAGCGGGCCTCGTTTTCCTTCCGCCGCCTTCGGCCGAGGAAGAGATGAGAACCCCTTCGATCCTCGAAGGCACGGCAGCTCTCGGAACGCCTCATACCCTGACAGGAAAGGGTCTCCGCGGCACAGACAGAGCCAAGGACCAAGAACGTCTGACGACCTCGGTCCTCGATCCTCGCTGGCGGCGCGCGGCGCCGGGGAGGAGCGGCCTCCTCCTCCTCCTCCTCCACTTCCTCATCCACTTCCTCCTCCTCCACTTCCTCCTCCTCCTCCTCCAGTTCCTCCAGTTCCTCCTCCTCCTCCACTTCCTCCTCCTCCTCCACTTCCTCCTCCTCCTCCTCCTCCTCCTCCTCCTCCTCCTTAAGAGGAGGCGAGTGGAGGGGCCTCTCCGGAGGGGCCCGAGGCTTTGACGTGAGGCCTCCCCGACACGCCACGAGGGCCCCCGACGAGCACCCCATGCCTTCTCGGAGCGCCTCCCCCCGCCGCGCGCCGCCTGCCTCTGCACGCCGCCGATCTCCCCTGGATGAGCGACGGGGGGCGCGGTTCGGACACCGTGGAGGTGCCGACCCCTGATGGCCCACTCTTCCACTGCCGCACAAGAAGTTGGACGGGGGAGAGGGGAGGATGGGAGGGCCCTTCTCCTCTTTCTCCTCCTCCTGCCTCTGCTGCCCATGGTAGTGGTGGTGGACAGTCGGCCCAGCAACCCCTGTCAGCGCCTGACTGGGGTCAGCCAGGGCCGCGTGTAGCGACCCCGAACCGGCCACGAGGAGGAGGAGGAGGAGGAGGAGGAGGAGGAGGAGGAGGGGGAGGAGAAGAAGGAGGGATGGGGGGGCTCTGAGTGGCCTTCAAGCCGGGGTCAGCCAGGGCGGATCGGAAGGGAGTGGCTGGCCCCCTGGGGGCCCAGCCCTAGCTGCGTGGGCGCGCACCGCGATCCCCTCAGACCAGCATTCAATCCACAGCTCGAGCCTCAGGCGGCATCCCCAGAACGCCGTCGACGAGGGGCAGCTCATGGAAACCGACCTGGATCCCGAAGCCATAACCAGACAAGCAGAAAACTGCAGAAAACCTTCTGGCGGCGCGTCCGCGGCTCCCTCCTTCCTAGGTCGCCTAGTTTCTCGCTTCCCCCCCCCCGCGAGGCGCTGTTATCGTCGCGCCCTCGCTCCGCCATCCCATGGGGAAGGGCACACATTCTGCTGCCCCGCCCGCGACGCACGAGGCGCGGTTATCTTCGCACCCCTACCGTTGACCTCGGTTTCGATCCCATCCGAGCTCATGGAACCCGGGCCGTGGCCCGAGGCATGTGCGCGGACGAGGGGATGCCAGGGAACGCATTGGAAGAGGGGGGTTCCTGAACTCCGGCGAGATCGCATGACCCCTGCCGTGATATCCACACACCCGTGGTCCTGACCCGGCCACGCGCCAGAGCGACCCCCAGGCAAGAGTGACCTCTGGTGCGCGGCTGAGGGGGCCGCGCAGGGGCCTCAATCCAAGCGTGGACGCCATCGCTGTGGGGACCCTTTGTGGGCCCACGCCAAAAGGTCCCTCTGACGAAGGGTCACTCGGTCTTCGGGGCGTACCTCGGGTCTCCTGCGGCCGCTGGGGACAACTCGGGCACCCCTGGGACCTTCCCGGCGAGGTCTGGCTGCGGGCACGCATCCCGAGGCGCGAAAGCCTCCAGGAACCGACGGAGAGATTCGACAACGTCCAGCCGCACGTCGTGCGCGTCGCCCACAGCCCCCCCTTTCTTGGACGCCCCCGAGTTCTTAGAGGCTTCAAGATAGGGTCGGCGTAGACGGAGTCGGAGGATTGCGCCCCATCGTCGATGCATCGCCGATGCATCGGCGATGCATTGGCGACGTCAGCTAATTATGCATCAGCCACGTCGGCGCGGAGACAATCGGGCTCCGCATCCAGCCGCATCGCCGATACATCGGCGATGCGGCGGAACTCTCTGACCCCATCTGCTCCAGCCCCACCTGGGAGGCCTAGAGTTGGGTCGGGCATGTCCGCCTACGGGCGGATCGAGGAAGAGAAACTAAGCATGGCCACAGCATGCGCAAGCAACTGCAAAAAACAGCATCGAGCATCGTCCCCTGACTGTTTGTTGCCTGTGTTTGAATATTCCCCCTGTAGAGCTGGGGATGGACAGACCTCCCTTTAGTAAAACGTGGTTTAGTGAAAACGACCTGAGGCCCAAGCCTGGCGGGCGCAAGCCTGGAAAATAACGGCCACGGCGCCCTTTCGAAAACCGAGAACGGACAATTCACTAGTCGACGTGTCACTGTTGGGGGTTCTGTCCACCCCCGAAGCTGTAGAGGGACATGCCCGACGTGAGCCTGGAGCGATGGCACCTGGGGCGCCCCGGGCCGGGTCGACCGGGCAGACCGCGGCGGCGAGCGGCTGCAGCACCGTCAGGAGGCCAGCCCTCCGCAGCGTCAGGGACGCGTCGACGCGGGCCGCCGTCGCGGCCCAGCTCCCGTCCGCGTGCTCCAGGGTCTCGCTGGTGAGCATTTTCTGATTCGTCCTCCTCCTCCTCCTCCTCCTCCTCCTCCTCCTCCTCCTCCTTCCCTTCCCCCTCCTCCTCCTCCTCTTCCACAAGTATTACACAATGTGAATGCTACTCTCCTCTCTCCCCTGACGAAGTCGGGAAGATATCCGGCTCCCCTCCGCGCACTGTGTTTCGTTGGATGTTTCAGAATGCTGCTCCCGCTGAAGCGCTGGCCGCATTTTCGGGCTTCCGCTTGTTCCGAAGTTCCGAATCGTGCTCCCGCTGTAGCGATGGCCTTCCTCATTCATAGGCGGCCCCGAAATCTAGAAAATGCCCCCCCCCCCTTCCCCCCCCCGCGAGAAAAACCATCGGGAGTACACATTCGGTGTCGACTCTTTGATTTCTGGGGCCGCAGAAGCCCCCCCGCCCCCACTTTGGGGCGTCGTCGCTTTCAGAAAGTATCAAGCGGGAGACCCGTTTCTGCTCTGAGAAGGCGATGTTGAAAGCAGAGCCAGCGGGTGCTCTCCATCAGCCCCGCCTTCTGTGGAGCTTTTCGGGGAGCCCAAGGAGCCAGACATGGAGCCACGACTCCAGACCGGCCCGGACCTCTCGAAGACGATCCACTGACCCTCCAAAGAACCTGGCGCCAAGCCATGATATGTTTTTTCGACCATGTCAATACAGGTCAGCTCCGAGCCACGAAACGATCAAGCACAAGCAGAAGCGCAAAAAGCCGGCCAGACAAACATTGGCAGGGACGCCAAACCGCCAAGCAGGGTCCATCAAGGCATCGGTGCGCCACAGGTATGACCTCAGAAAGGTTACAGTGTTAGGCAGCCCTGCTCATGAAGCCTTGATCCAAGCTGATCGACTGTTGTCTGGCTGATGCAAGGGAAAAAGAAGCGGCCAATATTGCTAGAGGCTGTGCCGATCTAAACATGTGCGATGAAGGGCCACTAGGGGTCTCTTGGGCGCATCTTTGGGGCCGTGCCCCCTCAAGATGCCACGCAAGAAACTATCAGCACTATCATTGCGCAGTCTCTGTGGTGCAGAACTCGTTCCGCCGACAAGCCAGTCTGGGCTGTCCGAACATATACAATTGTGAACGCATTCTGCACATCGGCATGCAGAAGAACCATGTGACCCCTTGATCCTTACCCTGCGACTACTGTAGAACCCCTAAACATATCCAATGCCCTCCCTCCAACTCGTACAGGAGGTCAACGCGAGAAGAGACTGCGAACGACGCCGAACACGAAGCAATTGGGGAGCACCGTGACCTCCCACTTGCTGCGATGGGGATGCGCCCGCGCTTGAGCTGGCGTGATAACGCAAAACTGCAAAATCCTCCCACGACGCGGACAAAAAAAAATCGCACCGGCCTGGAGGCTGCGAGCGACGCCGGAAACGAAGCGATTAGGGAGCACCGTGACCTCCCCCCTTGTTGCGATGGGGATGCGACCGTGCTGCAAAATCCTCCCACGACGCGGGCAAAAAAAAATCGCACCGGCCTGGAGGCTGCGAACGACGCCAGAAACGAAGCGGTTAGGGAGCACCGTGACATCCCCCTCTGTTGCAATGGTGATGCGCCCGCGCTGCGAAATCCTCCCACGACGCGGACAAAAAAATCGCACCGGCCTGGAGGAGGAGGAGGAGGAGGAGGAGGAGGAGGAGGAGGAGGAGGAGGAGAAGGCGGAGAAGAGGGAGAGAGGAGGAGAGAGGAGGAGGAGGAGGAGGAGGAGGAGGAGGAGGAGAACGACGAGGAGGAGGAGGAGGAGGACGCGGGCAAAAAAATCGCACCGGCCTCCGTAAGCCTGCCCCCGCCGGCACCGACGCGGGGCCCGCTGCGCCCGCGGAGGGCGGGCGTGCACACGCAGTGGGCTGCCAGCTTCAGAGGAGTGGGCGCTGAAACCCTGGCGCACGGGCACGAACCTCCTCCTCGTCCTCCTCCTCCTCCTCCTCCTCCTCCTCCTCGTCCTCCTCCTCCTCCTCGTCCTCCTCCTCCTCCTCGTCCTCCTCC